TAAATGCAAATTGCAGCTATAAGCATTTAGATATACCTACATAAGCAATGTACATAGTACATTTTGTAGTTATGTATATACAATTAAAATGACTCATTGTTAACAAAAAAAAAAAAAAAAATTAATAGAAAAATCCATGCAAAAATGATAAACACTTTAGAAATAACCACATACTACATGTTGTACATACTTACGGTGACCAGATTTCTGTGGAATAGAATAAAAATACATAACATCTTATAATACAGTTTTATTTGAGACAAAACAAAGAAAAAAAACTTGAATGTTGATCTCAAAAATATATACACACAATATATACGGTGGCGAGAATGTAAATGGGGAAAAGACATTTTAGCAACTTTAGGCTACTTTTCTATGTTGAAAAATGTTTATGACATTTAACTTACTAAAAAAATAATACTATGGCTAACTAAAATTAAAAAAAAAGAATATAAATCAAGATTTCAAACTTTGTTGAACATTTACAAAAATTCGACGAATTTTGACTAATGTTGATCAAAATTTTAAACTTTTTAATCAGATTTTTAGAATTATTTGAGCATACAATTTTGTAGCCCATCAAATTTTAGTACAACAAAGTGCAAGTTCGAAGTAGCTTGGACTTACCGTTGATTTTTTAGAAATTTTTAGATCGCGCATTTTCTTCCATACAAAGTGTGTTCGACATTTTTTTTGTATGGGAAAATGGCCAAAACCTTCCACAAAAAAATTTACAAAATTTGCACTTCGTTTTACTAAAATTGAATCGGCTTAAAAACTGCATATTGGGAAAGTTTAAAAAGCTCAACATTTTGATAAAACTTTGTCGAATTTCGCTAATTTTTGTACAAACTTTGATATAAATGGTTTTTGTTATATAACGAGCTACGCTTTCATAAAAAATAATAAACATTAAATAATCAGAAGGCGAATGGCCATGGAATGTTAAAATGTCTCTGCCCTATTTACATTTTCGCCATTGCAACAAAAACTTATATATTTTTTATAATTTCATTAAATTCAAGCTAGAATCGTTTCATTTAAAAAAAAAAAAACTGAACAAAAAATTATAAAAACCGTAAAAAAATTATTGACAGAATAAAACATAACCAAAGTTCATAGAAAATAATGCTATGTTTGTGGCTAACGAATCGGTAGAAATATGAAAAATCGGGACACTTATACGTCTCGACTTTTAAAAAATATTCAGCCGGACAATTTTCCCAAAATCGGCGCTGCCCCACAAAATCGGTACGAATGGTCAGCGTATACATACTACATACATATCTAAATAAATAAAATTTAGCATCAGTCATGCGATTTTGTTCCATTTCGATTTTTCAAATAATTGCATTTAAAAAATATCATTGCATACTTTCAGGTGAATACAAAAATAAAAAAATATTAAAAAAATTGTTTAAAAATGGAAAATAACTGAAAACAGGTTAATAGCCAGTTTCACGAAAGCCCTTTAAACACAAATTTTGTACTGAGAAAGTCTTTTTAAAGGGCACATATTGAGAAGTTTTTACAATTAATATTTTTATGTAATTTTAAATACTTTTTTTGTATAATATTATAGTTGTGCCATGATACAATACTTTTAGAAGGTAGGTTTACCTCTTTTTATCCGCCATGTTAGCTATCTGACAGAAATCGTGTTTCGTATATTTTGTGGTCCAAACTTTTACGAAAAAAAATCCAGCTTTTGACGTCGGAAAATTAAAAACGAGCAAAGCCAACATAGTACAGAAATTTTCAAAACTTATTTAATAATCTTCTTCATAAGAATTACCCAGCCAGAAAAAAATCCGAAAACAAATCCGAAAAAGGAAAAAGTGGTTGAAGTGCGGATTATTTGTCCGTTTACCGATTCCATTTTCGGATACTTTGACGATCTGTTTTCCCACTAAAGTGTGCGGCAAAAACGCATGTACAGACAACTACCGAAAATTGTTTGTGAAACGGATACATTTTCGGCGGTTTCTGCAATTTGTCTGATTGAATTTTTCGTTCAATACGCGTTGCTTCTGCACTTCACAGATGCTGTTTCATGGTAAAAAAATAAAATAAAAAAAAATTAGGAAGCGCCTGACGGAATTCGAACCCGGCACCTTCTGGCCGACTACACATGCATGCTTTCAAATGGTTAGCTTGAACAAATAAAATGCAATTATTGCTTTCAAATAACATTATCTTTTGCGAACGTTTCGAATAAGAAAATGAATGATACCTGTAGTCGTTTTTATTCGTTTCCGTATACGGAAAATTATAATAGAAAGCACTGTTGGCAAAATTTACGTTTCTTTGCTGGCTGGGAAGAGCCACCGCATACAGCAGAATTTATGCTTTAGGCTTACGAAAAATATCTAAAATAACAAGCGAAAATCTCCAAGTTCTATATCGTAGCAGTGGCCACATTGCGTGTTTTGTCACAGACACGGTTTATGTCAAAATTTTCGAAGTGAAACTACCTTCTAAAAATTATTGTATCATGGTTGATGCTATAAAAAATCGACATATATAAATCCATATTTAAAATACAAATACGTATACAAATATTCTGCTGGGTTAATGAAAATTCTCTCTTCTATGAGCGCTTGGAACCTACTTATGAGTGCTGCCCCCGCCTCGATGTCAAAATCGTGGTCGGCGATTTTAATGCCAAGGTGGGCAAGAAAGGGATCTTTGGCGCCACTGTCGGAAAATTCTACCTCCACGACGAAACGTCCGATAACGGACTGAGGCTGATCGACTTCGCCGGTGGGACTGTTATAGGGAACTAAGAAGGAAGCAAGAAGTATTTGCCGCAATAAGAAGAGAGAGGCCGAAATACGTGAGTGCGAAGAGCTTGAGATGCTGGCCGACAGGACGAGCGCCCGAAAATTCTACCAGAGGGTTAGGCGACTTACGGAAGGTTTCAAGACCAGGGCAAACTCCTGTAAGAACAACAATGGCGACCTAGTGACCGATGTCCAGATTGTACTTAAATTATGGAGGGAACATATCGTTCGAATGGACAGAAACGCTCCTGCTCTGAAAGTATTCAACGCGGGCCGCAATGCTGGTAACAGGGGGAAGAGTAAGGCCTCCTCTGCGTTGGAAAGTCGAGGTGAAGAAGGACTTGACTTCACTTGGCATTTCCAATTGGCGTCAGTTAGCACAGAGGAGAAATGACTAGCTTGCTGTTTTGGCCAATAAAGAAGAACAAGAAGAGAACGAAAATTTTACCCATACTGAGACCTCCTAATTTTTTGAAGTCGGTTAAATATATGTATATAGTCCAAACTTGTTAATAATACATATGTGGATGTCGTATACTTAGTCATGATATTTAAGCACTAAATTTTACAGCCGTTTTAAACATGGAGAGTTAACTCACATTTTGCTGTCCAAATATCGAAACTTAACTGCCAAATGTGAGTTAACCCTTCACTGATAATGGACATTCGTCCATTTCGTCCAGCTAGTAGACCGGTGTGCCATCGACGTGTATACCTAACGGGGAGAGGGTTAGGCTCCGTGCAGTGAAGAAGCGTAAAAATTCCGAGAGTTAACCGTTTATTTTCGTGCAGAGATCATCATTTTAATTTCACTATGTCGCGGCGTTGTTCCTATCAAAATTCGCCCTGGTGTCGGCGAATATTTTAACCTTTTCGCACTCACGCATTTCAAGCTCTCACTTTTTTTTATCGATACCACATATGTATGTAGCTCGCGTTACGCACGATCATAAGCGCCATATGTTTTCTTGGGAGCGGCGTGGCATTCCTCGTCATACTAATCAGCTGTTGTTCGGTCTTGCTGAAATCGAACTATTTTTATTAGGCAAATTCATTTTTCGAAAAAGCATATTTCTAGGCTCAATTTATGTAAATTTTAATTACGGATTTTTAAATCAAGCGATTTCTTACACTCATTTATATATTGTGTTTTTTTTTTTGTGAAAAGGTAATTATAAAATTAAATATTAGGGTGGTTCTTCAAAGATCGACAACGAAGTTTTGTATGGGGCATCCTTTTATTTTTTCTACCTACAAAACAAATACATCAATGAAAATATCAAAGTTTTAAACAAATTTGTATGGGTTGTTACCAAGGTTTGAACAAAAAATATTTTTTTTTTAATCCCAAGAAATTCGAAAAACTGTGCTTTAAAACTACTAAATTTGACATAATCGCCCTCATTGCGAGAGCCGTGTCGAATGCAAGTCGTTTTTCGAGAGTCGAATCGTATCTTAAGTTTCACGCCATTGCCTAAAATTTCCACTCGACTAGTGTATTAAAGTGGGAAAACTTGGCAGCACTGTATAGTTTACGACGATTTTCGTCGTTTACTTATTTCAGCACGGCTGTATACAATGCCAATATTGTCGAGTCGTACAATTGAGCCTAATTTACGACTTACGCAATGAGGCTGATTATTGAAACTTTTGTCGAATTTTCGCGTGTTAAAAAAAAATAATTTTTCAAATCTTGTTAGCGGCCGATAGTACTTCTATTAATTTTTATGAAGCACCCTAATAAAGGCCCAATGTCATACTCGCAAGATCATCAAAAAGAAAAAAACAAACATACATATGTACATCGAATTATATGCGCACACTCATATCTATTGTTTTCCACCATCCATATGCATTTTCCTCAACATTACATATGTACATACATACGTCTGTATATGCGAACATAGAGAAATTTAAATAATTCAGCCGTACACCTGTGTACAAAGCAAATTAAAAATTAATAGTCAAAAATCCAAGCTCTGTTATTAGCAAACATAATTAGGAAGCATTTCAAATAATGTACATGCGTACATACATACATACATTAAATTAAATAAAAATCATAGACAAAGTCCAAAATTGCGCTGAAAATTCAATTTCCAAAATTGCCAATAATA